TGCTCTGGTATTTAGACTGATCAGAATATTACAGAGAATAACAATTTCGGCGACACTGAACGCGAGTTATGTTGCTGTCATTTAACACTTTATTAATTGATATAATAATTGCATGGTATTCCTTTTTACTAGCTCATCACTTTTGGTTTATATTAACGATTGTATCTTAATTATGAGTCAGTCATTCAATCTCGGTGACAGCGAACACACACACTGTAAATCCGGTTCGGTCCAGTAAACTATTGTTGGAACCAAATAAAGTTTTTTAAAAACCAAGTTTGAAGTTCCGACTATAGTCAACGCCAAACAAAGTGGCGTGCACGTCATCACGATAAAAATTCCCCGACCTAATGCCTAGGTTTCTATCACAAACAATTGCTCTATTGCAGTTTCATATTAATGTGATATATAAATTGTAAAATGGTCATTACTCTCTTATTATGGTTAATAGTCATATAAACATTGTTATTAAAATATCACATAAGTTGCTTTCTGATAAATTTAGACGCATTATGCGAAATAAAATGTTTTGCAAACGCTCCAATCACTTATCGACATGTAAACGCACTAAACCGATTTCGCAGCGTTGACACATTGTCACCTTGAAACTTATTTAAACTGGGAACTGACATTTGTATTAATTTTGACACTGAATCAATTTGTGGCATTTCAAATCTTTATAAATCCTTTGGCCCCGCATACTGTAAATCAACAACTGTTTGTTTCAAAACAAAATTATTCATTTTACGAGTAGATAAAGGCAATTTTGGTATATAAAGATGCCCAAACAGTTAAATAGTCGGTGTAAGGAACTCGTGGCCTCGTTAATGCACTACTTTGAGAAAGAAAGGGACAACAACGGGCGTTTGTTGCCTTTAAATGCTGTTCAAGAGGTAGGTTACTAATAATTATATGTAATGTATATTAATAATAGTGAAATTTTATTTCATTTTTTGTAGCGTGTTGCTGCTGCTTTAAAAATTAGTTTAAGGACAGTTAGTCGTATTTTCGAGGGTGTGAAAAGTGATGCAAATTTAGAATCGCCCAAGAAAAAGCGGAGTTATATTAAACGTGTAGCCAACACAACCACAACCAATGTATATTTCACCCTATTGAGTTAATTTGGGGCATAGCAAAAGGTTACTATAACAGACATATTGGTAGAGATGGTAACAGTGAAAAAGACTGTTTGGATATGTGGAACGAGGCTCTACAAACGGTTACCCCAGACATGTGGAAAAATAGTGTTCGACATACTGAGCAAGAAATTTTTAAATGGTATGAAAGAGAACGAATTTTTGATCGACCAGACATCGAACCTTTAATAATCAACTTTGAGAGTGATGAAGATTCAGATTCAGACAGCGCTGAAGAAAGAAACTCCGACTAACTTTATTGTACAGAAAAAGCTTACACCAGTAGCTTACCTAATTTTAGAATGCATTTTTCTGTATGAATTCTGTAAAATAAATACCATGCATAAAATTTGGAGGACCCCATTTGGATTTTTATTCAGTACCTTTAAGCTATCAATTAAATATGGTAGTTTCATAGTGTCATCTGATCAATAATTGTCATACTTAATGATTATGCAAGTACAGATCTATAATTTTATTATACTATTATTTTTGTTCTCATTTGAGGTTAATATTGCTTATAAACCTAGATATGTAAATAATAAATTTTATTATTTTACAAAAAGTTTGGCAACAATGTAAATTTTTCAACACACCCACCTTGATGACGTGCACGCCACTTTGTTTGGCGTTGACTATACATAATTGGCGCAGCCCGCAGTAGGATTCCCAAAGGAATTTTCGCCGATTAGCCCTTGATTCCGAACTCTTAATTGGGAATCACGAACCTCCGTGACGAGCCGGTACGACTGAAGAAAGAAGAAAGAATTTGGACCACAAGTGCCCTTTGTGCTGTTGAAGCCAAGAACGGGATGAAGTACTGGACCTATCAGTAAGTGCTCATTGTATCCTTATTTTTTCATGAGTGACTCACCCCGACCTGTACATCCTTTCGAAGGTGATAGTGCAGATCAAATCGCTAATCGCAGAGCAAGCTTACAATTAGGAAGTAAAGAAATAAGACAAGCAAACGAAACTATAGAAAGGATAATAATGACGACCCCCAGTAGAAATAGTGCCCCCCAGTTCGACATAAAATTACTACAAATTGTCCCAGAATTTGATGGGAATCCCTGTAGATTATATAGATATTTAGAAATAAGCACAGATTTATTAAATAACTATTGGAACATTGACGATACAGGATGTGTCCAAAACAAAATACTGCTACATGACATTTTCTCGAAATTGGCTGGTGCTGCAGAGCAAGTATTTTCTGTTAGCGGTTCCACAAACTGGAACAGCATTAAAATTTTGCTAATTGCTCATTTTGGTGATCGAAGAAACGAGAGTAGTATTATCTCAGATATAACTGCCCTTAGAGAAAATTCTAATAAAAGCTCTTTACAGTTTTATTCTAGAGTTGTAACCATGCTGAATCATTTACATAACTATATAAATATTGATGAAACAGTTGATGCTATTAAAACTAGTAAAAAGGCCCTGTATGATAGTCATGCATTGCATACACTTTTCGTAGGTTTAAAGGAGCCACAAAATTCCATGATTCGGTCGATGAAACCTAAAAATTTGGCAGAAGCTTAAGCTTATATTTTAGAAGATAATAACATTAGATATTTACAAAAGGCTGGTGCACATTCAAATTTCAATAAGCCACCTCAGCCTGCCCTTCCATCCAAACCACATTTTCAAAATTTGTTTAAGACTCAAATGCAGCCTATGAATCAATTTAGGCATCAGCAAAATTTCAATTATCATCCTCAATTCCCAAGAGGACCAGTTCCGATTCGACCTAGACAAAATCCTCTTCCACAAAGATTTCCAACAAACGCACAAGTTCTTGGCAATAGACCTAATGTTAATATTTGGCGTAATCCGCCTAACCAAGGACCTTCCTACAGGCCTACTCCTATGAGTGGTGTTAGTAGCATCAATAGAAATAAGAATTTCCAAAATAATTATTTTAGGCCTTCTGGCCCAAGGAACTTTGCTACTCCTATGAGTGGTGTTAGTAGCATCAATAGAAATAAGAATTTCCAAAATAATTATTTTAGGCCTTCTGGCCCAAGGAACTTTGCTTCTCAAGAATTACATAACGTTGAGAGTGATCCTTATGATCCAAATTTTGGAAACAACCCTGACGATGACTATTACTCGGAATATTGTCAGGAAAATCAGTATGACTGTTCTCATCTATATTACGAAAACCCTGATGAGGCACAAAATGATGTTTCTGAAACTGGTCAAAAGCCTGATGAAGAAAAACAAAATTTTCAGATGGCCGTGCCAATGATAGAGGAGACAATATACTTAAACACGATTTATGACAAAACAGAGTTACCTTATATTGAAATTAAAAATCCGCCTTTAAAGCTTCTTATTGATACTGGTGCAACGAAATCATTTTTAAATCCTGATCTTGCACAATTGCATTTTCCAAAATGTATTTATAAAGAACCATACGAAGCAACTTCAGTTTTTCAGCATTCAAAGAGAGACTATTGTGCTAAAATTCCTACCTTCTCAGAACTCAATGTTAGTGAGCCTATAAAATTTCATTTGTTCAAATTTCACAAGTATTTTGATGGTCTGATTGGTTTAGATATTTTGAAACTTCTAAATTCACATATGGACCTTAGAAATTCTATTTTGCAGACCAAAAACGCCAAAATTCCAATCAAATTTCACGATTTGAAAAATCGTTTGTTATTTTTCATAGAAATTGAGCCCCACACGGCGGCCCAAGCCAAAATTCCTGTCGATACTTATAATGGAGAAATTTTGATTCCAATTTCCAAAATTAGAGATTGTGTAATCAATTGCCAAAATTGGGTCATTGCACCACAGTATTATTTCGATAGATGAATTAAAGTCAATATTCCAAATATTAGTCAAAAATCATAATAATTGGTGTATTCAGACATCAAAGATATTTATAAGCTTTACGACATAATTTCAGTAGAAGCATATTTTTCTCAAAATCGATTAGTTTTTGCCTTACATGTTCCGCTTTTGCATGTAGACAAATTTAAGCATTATCATCTTTATTCCATTCCTACTGTTAACCTAACTACCATTATTCCCAAAAATTCCTATTTCACAATGAGTACCAAAATGTACCAATATGATGCTGAACCATGTCAAAAGATAGAAGATATTTTTATTTGCCACAAAAACAAATTGGTCCATGTAGCAGAAGAAAAAGACGATTGTCTATTTGCTATTTTACAAGTAAACAAAAAGCAGCCAAATTGTAACAAAATTCCCGTAACTCTTAAAATGGCCTTAATTGAAGAAGTTTCAGAGTCCAAATGCATTGCTATCTTCCCGAAACAGTGAAGCAGCTCCTACAAATGGAGTCTACCCCTGTATGCAATTATGTTAATTGGAATTGCATGCATCTTCGTGAAAAAGTATTACCAGAGAAGCAAAGGATCAAGAAGAAGCCAGCATTTAGAAGAAATCGAAATGCAACCCCAGAGGCACGAAGTTTTGTTTGTACCCTCCAAAACTTCATCTTAAGGGTGGAGGAGTTATGTTGCTGTCATTTAACACTTTATTAATTGATATAATAATTGCATTGTATTCCTTTTTACTAGCTCATCACTTTTGGCTTATACTAACGATTGTATCTTAATTATGAGTCAGTCATTCAATCTCGGTCACAGCGAACACACACACTGTAAATCCAGTTCGGTCCAGTAAACTATTGTTGGAACCAAATAGAGTTTTTTAAAAACCAAGTTTGAAGTTCCGACTACATAATAGCTGAACATATTGCAAACACTGATTTCGTACAGCACTCCAAAAATGGTCGCAATCGACTGAGACAACGGATATAAGTTTTGGTGATGAATATATGATATACTAGAAACTATATCATTGTTCCAGTAATTTGCTTACCACATTCAATTCGTCATTCGCTCTCAATGGAGCATTTGCACCGGTTTTCCTGTCCCAAGCACCATGATAGTCGTAGCACATCATGTGGATGAAATCTAGATAAGTAGATATGCCCTTCACATTGTATCCCTTATCTATTGTATCCTTTCCTGCACCCAACGCAGCTGTCAACAGCAGCTTATGCTTCCTAAAGGCCGCCTTCAAATCCTAAAATAATTACAGAAGTGACATTGGATTCATCCACATCTTGATGTCACTAGATATATATTATTGTAAAGGACAAGAGATTTAACCTAATTTATTCATTCCACTCAAGAATTCGGTAGGATTTGCACGAACTAGGAGAAAGTTCGTATGGTGACAATATTACTACAAGTCGAAATAGAACAAATGTTGGCCAGTATGGCATTTGAAATAAGCTAGTTCTACGTCAAGTCTCCTCGATGCTGCCAACAAGTATCTTAAAATCCTTATAAAAGCAAATTTTTTTTGAGTTTTTGCTTTTACGGTATTGGTTAGAACAAGTTGGGTATAAAGCTTCATTCGTCAACAGGTATTCTTGCCACTCCCTTTCTACCAAATTTAGTAGATCTAATAAAACGAGAGTTGAGTAGTTCTTTTCAGTATAAATCGATAATTCCTTCTTTTCAAACTACACACTGCTCGAAATATTTTTGGTGAACTTTATTAAAAATGTCTAGAAAATTACTCGGCCATTTTAAAACAAAATTTCAGTATCTAATTTCTTTTAGACTATTGAAGTTAAACATAATTTGCGCAAACACGACAAAAAATATATATTTTTGTGTTCAAAACATTACTATACTTTGCCAAACATTGTTGGGACAAGGACTTCTAAATTCGTCAAGTGACGTGTTTGAATGGTATCAATAAATAGTCATCATCAATTAGCTGTTACCAACCAAAGGTAAGGGGCGGATCCGGAAAGCAATTTGAGGAGAGAGGACAAGGCAAACGAAATGCTTGGACTTATGATTATGTGTCGGTGATAAATAATTTTAATCACAGTGCGAATATAAACAGCAATTTTAGATTTTCAAATCAAATCAGCACGGGTATTATGTAAAAACCTATAAAACGGCAAAAAAACCTATAAGATGTATAGGTAGTTTTTAAGGTGCAAACTTTCATTCCACGTTTGCTCACTAGGATCTTTGTAATGAACGATACAGCATGATCGTCTCTTTACAAGTATGCATTGTTGGTTGCAAACAGCCACACTGTTTGTAGATGTAGATTACAAACACAAATTGTTATGTTTAAAATGTGAAGGAACGAAGGTTGGGTTCAGGAGCAAGACCGCATCTGGATAATTGTATTGGTCGGCATGTGTATAAAATCTGTGATATTTGCTATATGAGAAAATTATTACTGACTATGCTGCCAATGGAGTATATCTATTAACTGTGCCAGACGGATTATTTGTGTTGTTCTTTCTGAAGAGAGGCTATGTTCAAAGTTATACATTACAATTTTTCCCGTTTTTTTTTTCTTTTGTGTTTTCAAAAACTTTGAGAAGAATTACAAAAAATCATCGCCGCGTCCGCGTTGTGTGTAGGTAATTATTGTTTGCATGTATATGACTTGTAATTCGACAGTGTACAGTGAATATAATTATTTCTTATTTCTTATTCAGCAAATTTGCATATGTAATTTCCAGAATGGATAAGAAAAAGTGTATGCGCAACTAATTTCTAGCCTCGAATCTTAAGTAAGTGTATTTGAGACAAGAATCCAATGGAATTATCATCAACACACATTATTAGCACACAGCTCCTCACTACACCTCAGCTTATACCTCCATGCCATCTTTGAAGCAGATTTTACATCACATCAGAGCCAAACATTGATAACTGACGTTTATGCAACACGTACAACTACAAAACGAGTTCACAAAGTATCCAAATTAACATCTTGTCGAAAAATCTACATAACGTAAACAAAAAATCGGAATGATGTCATTTGCGTTCGTGGCCTACAATGTGCTAAGTACCTACGCGAGGCAAGTGTGAATGGTAGGATATACATATTTGTCTCAGTTTGTTGGTGTTTCGATAGTAGATGGTATCCACCAATTAACATTAACCAGCTATCAAGCATTATTTTGAAAAAGCATAAATGAAAAAATACGAGGTATGTCCCGCGTATTTTTCTTGTTCCAGTGGCATTTTGGGAGAAGTAACTCTACCTTCCCATTCCACTTAATCCTATTTTCGAATAGATTTTTTTCATACAACGAATTCGAATAGATTAGAAGAAGCCAAGCCTATATACGAGTTATAAACATTACATTGTTTGTCACCAAAGTTCCGTATACTTCTGACTCATTTGACTACCAATGCCTACCAAGTGACAGCGTTGTATCAACATAATAATAACTTACTGGTGAAAACATCTACTGTTAGTAGGCTTGGGCCGCTCTTGGCAAATTACGTAAGTACCATGTCTTGAAATCGTCTGACACCACAATTACTGAAAACACACTTTTAAAAAATAACACTAAAAATACGAATTTAATGACAGAATTGTCAAAAAATTGCACTTATAGTACAGTCTATGAGAATCCGGAGACTAACAAATCTTTGACTGGCTCCTTCTACCTAGTCAGAATTCCTTAATTCTATAAACGAAAACGAATTTATTAAGGTCAATAAACGCGAAAGAATCCAAGTTCTAGATGCAATATTTTGTTTATTCACGAAACCGCACTAATTAAAAACTGCGTAAAGGTGTAGAGTACGCAGCCGCAAGGCGTTTTTCAAATAAGTGTGCAACCAAAAGAATTAAAGATTTACCTTCACCAAAAGTAAGAAGTTTGTTTTATCTTCTGGCCTTCCACCCCTTTGACCTGGGAATTCCCAGTCCAAGTCTAGTCCATCAAAGTTATATTTTCTATTAAAAGAAAAGAAAACACGTTATGAAGGTGATCTATCGTATCGATAACAACAACAATGGAATAAACTATAAAAGTATCTATTACGAAGCTACAGGCCCCTATAAGGCCGCGTTTGTACAATCTGGTGTCATAGCAGATTGTATCTAATGTTAAGCCTGTGTTTTAAACCATGAAGGTATCAAGAAATGTTCAGTAAATAACATGAATTCTGAGAAAGTATCGGCAAAATCCGAAAAGATAATATTTATTCACACAAGCAGTGGCGTAGCTACTAAATAGGGGCAGTGCCCCGGGGCCCTCAAGCTCAGGGGGCCCTCGAATCCTTACCAGAAGGTACATTTTCATGGCAGCGCTTTTATCGCTGGCGATAAGGCCTAGGACCCTAAAAAGCTGAACTGGTTGAACTGTTGAAGATACCTCCGCTGCCGATCATGCGAACGTGGATGATGTTTGTATGGCACATAAGAACATAAAAACGGAGGATTTGGAGGAACCACAGACCCATAAATTTTTCGAAAATCTGTACGATAAATCGTCTTATGACTTGGGAAACTTCACGAACAAAATACTAAATGATAATGAAAGACGTCAAATTCTTAATATGGGTTCTTTTCCAACTGATATCAACCAGAATAATAGGTGTTTTTCAAAATCATACTACGTTTCAAGTTCAAAATATGGACCAGTTAATCGTTTTTGGTTGTGCTATTCCAAAATATTAGACGCTGCCCATTGTTAACCCTGCTGGTTATTTGCTTCACATAGGAATAATGTCTGGTGTACGGGAATTCGTGATTGGAAACATTTATCAGAAAGAATTAAACAACACAGTTGTTCGAGTGGCCATACGGAAGCATGTGCTGTGTATGAATTTTGGAAAAAAAATGATACTAATACTATCGACAAGGAACTTGAAAATGAAATTCGCAAAAAAAACCATCCTTTTGGAAAATGGTTCTTCAAAGATTATTTCCTACTTACCCTAGCAAAGAGTTCTTTGGCTTTGAGAGGACATCGAGAAGACTTAAGTCATGAAGGATACCATTGAAATTTTTTGTCCTTTGTACAGCTTGTCGCCCGATATGATCACATTTTGCGGCAAGTTCTGGATATGCCCAAAGGTAACAATAATAATTTTATTTTGTTTTAATATTACTCATAATTATTAACTTTTTAATGTAAGGGCTGTTTAATATTGTTTTTTTATGTTTTTAGGATCTACAAGATATCTGAGTGCGACGATTCAGAATGAAATGAATGAGAGCTTAGATGTAGACCTCTTCTCGTCAAACAGTCATCTGGTATTGTTGTGAATCACACGGTTTCCCCAGATTGATTCCCAAAACGTTTTCGTGGCCACTGGTGTGGGGACCTTATTTTCTTGCAGGGTTTGAGGCTCGTGATCTTCTGACTGAATTTTTTTAAAAGCTCCTTTCACTCCTGCTAAACTGACTATTGTGTTGACGTCTTGTGTTGCTTTCCTTATACCGTCGGAGTTTTTTAGCCATAGCCTTGAGTTTTTGTTTAAAGTGATCCAGTATTTCTGTTGCTGTTGGATTTTCGAGGCTTTGTTCCCTTTCAAGAATGGCTTTGACTTTCTTAGTGACTGAGCTTTTTAATGTAAGGGCTGTTTAATATTGTTTTTTTTATGTTTTTAGGATCTACAAGATATCTGAGTGCGACGATTCAGAATGAAATGATTGAGAGCTTGGGGTCAAATCCCGAAACCCATCTACTAGAAGACATTAGGGTGTCATAATGGATAGGACACATGACATATCGAAGGTAGATCAACTAAGCATTGTTGTGACGTATGCAGTAATAACCAGATCGGAAAATAGACAGCCAATTGATATAGAAGTAAAAGAAGTGTTTCTATGCAGCCATCAAACATGGCGCAGCAGATTTAGTTAATCAAGTAACTACATTATTTAAAGAGAAAAATATTGATTTAAAGCATCAAGCGTTGGGATCTACTGTCAAAATTCACAGGCGAATCGGACACCACTCTAAAAAAACTAAATCCCACTAGATGGTCCAGTAGAGTCAATACAATATCTTCAATAAAACTTCGTTTTTTTGATATTATCAAAGCATTATCAGAAATAGTTCTAAAGAGTCCTAATATAGATGAGCGTAATGAAGCAGAGAGTATCCAAACAAAAATGCTAAATTTCGAGTTCGTGTTGGTTTGTGAATTAATGCACAGTGTATTGAATGACATCAATTATGCATCCAAAATTTTATCAAAATGCGACATCAATTTGGGCGAGGCAAGTAAAGCTCTAGTAGAGACCAAAGATAAGTTGCAAGTTTATAGAAATGATGAATTAACTGCTGATCACCGATGTTCAAACCGAGAAGAAATATTTAAAATTGAGATTTTCAATACAGGGTTTACTGGTATGAGTGCAGTCTGTCAAACATTCGATTTTCTAACACCAACATTTTTATTACATGTTGATGAAGCAACTTTATTACAAAAGTGTGACGAATTCCAGAGAAAATATTCAGATATAATAGGCCCTAGCTTTTCACCTCAATTTGTTAATATTTACTAACTACCTCCACCTCAATTAACTCAAGAATGGACTGTTCACCAATTATGTGAGGAAATAATGAGTAAATATGGAGTGCTAGAATGCGATCCGACAGAAGTATTTACAGCAATGTTATTATTCATTACAATTCCTGTCACTGCTGCAGCAGCTGAAAGGTCATTCAGCAAATTAAAAATAATAGTATATTATTTAAGAAATAGTATGGGCCAAACTCGACTCCGACATTTATCGCTAACAGCAATTGAGAACAAAATCGCATCAAGTCTGGATTTAACCGAAGTTATTAATACTTTTGCGAACACTAAAGCTAGGAAAAGATTGTGATTATAATAGCTATTTAATCAGTTGGTAGGTCCGATCTTTACATAATAAACCCTTGAATCTTTTCTATTTCGTTTTATTGCCCAATACCTACTCCAATTATTAAAATAATTGTAATTTATGTTGTTAGTGTTTAATATTTTTATTACCTGTCTTGCAATGCATGAAAAAGAGCATAGCATTTTTAAAGTATTTGTATATTTAATGATTTTACTTTATAAAACCTTACCAGTTTTGATAGCAGTGGGGCCCCATTTTTTTATTTGCCCCAGTGCCCTAGGTTACCTAGCTACGCCACTGCACACAAGTATTCACTAAATTAATTTACTTGTTCTCTATATTACCTTAGAAATGCAACAACATTTTGGGCAAACTTCACTCTTTTCTCAGGACTAGCAGCCAGTTGAGAAAAATTGACTGATCCTTCATTCCAACCTCCTATAGCTAAAGACACCTTTAGATGGGGATATTTATTTTTTAGAGCTGTCAGTCTCTGATAACCGCCTTTACCATAGTCTTCTGTTAAATCTTGCCAAGGATCTGTAACAGAATTGCTATCAGCCATGGTTCCCAGGGATAAAATCTCTAATGCCATAACAAAACCAGTGCTGTATTGCATTAACCCTCAAAATATTTTTATATTATATAGAAAGTGGCATAGAAAAAAGAACACCCAGTAATATTAAATTTATTACAAAGATTTTCTAGGTATTTGTTTGAGTAAGGACAATAAACCGTATCGAAGTGGTTTTTGAGATATATAAGCGATAGTTGTGTTTTGTAGCTACGATTGGCATTTAGCTGACAAGAAAATTTTCAACAGCTTGGAGATTGTATAAGAAGAGTTAGAGGTAGGTACAGGGCTTTTCAGAATAACTTCCTCACTGCACTCGAAGATCGCCGCCTTAGGCTTTTGGCTCTACGCGACCGTTTCTCACCAGGAGGTTAATTGCAGACCAATTGTTTGGAGCGCAATTTTTTACACAATGTTACTACTATTCCAAAGACGAAAAGCTTTGTAGTCTTTAAACATCGGTCGAGTGGGCAAAATGCCAAAAACGAAAAAAAAATCTTTCCACTTGGTTTTTTGACGGAGTAAAGAATTGAAGGCGGGGTTGTAGGAGGGTGGAAGAGCGTGTATCAGAATTTTTATATGTTAGGATTTCAATACATTTCTGGTAATGTTACACACATATTAGACATATTATTTCATACATCATAGATTTCGCCGTACATTTGCCCTACAAACTTTTCAGCAGAAGGATCGCGTACTTATCCGTCGCGCTGTTGTAAATAATGTTAGGGGATCCGAGGGACAAAAGCAGGTAGAGGAGTAACGACAAGGCGCGGTGGTGCCTCGTATGCGCAGCGTAGGCATGATATTATCTATATATACGAAACTTGATTTCGTGAGATAGTATTATATAGTATATACATATATAGTATACAAGGTATCAAGAGCTATTAGTTATCAAACATTGTTGGCAGTTTCTCAACAGTCAACCTACTTGACGCCATTTATTTGTAGCGGTTGGATTATTCTAAAATTTTGATCAATTACCTACCTAACCCAGAAAGGGACGAACACAAAAAAGTGCATTGTATACATTATTACTGGGTGTTCTTTTTTCGGTCACTTAGTATATCTATATCCCTTACTTACCCAAAGGTTTTATTCGATCGGACCTTATATCAAGTCCAGCGAAAGAGTATATGAGATGAGTACAAAGTGAAGGATCTAAATGTTCTATGGTATAGGAGCCTCTATCTGGTCGGTACACTGACCAGCTTCCTAGATAACAGACAACCACTTTACCATGCTGTGGACCTAGAAGAAAAAGAAAATTCGTTAAGTTGATGAATTTACTGGCTACATCAAAAAAATATTAGTAGGGCTAATTCGTTCCGGACGATTTAAAATGGATAAATTATTGCTTTTTGACAGGTGAAAGCTTTTATAGCCACTCTCAGGAAGAAAAACTTGAGAGTATTGTCCTGACGGCACTTCCTGCCCGAAGTGTGAGATTCTCCGGAAATAGCATACTCACTAAAGCCTCTCAGTCGTTCGCCGCACATCCCACTACGGTAATGCTTGCAGCATTTCATTATAGTGGGTAGCGTTGCGATAGGTTCTCATACCGAAGGTGTTAGTAATCTATTATCTATCGAACACATACATATTTGTATACCTATGGTCTATTTCAAAGTGGCTCTTTATCATGTTCAAAATAGATAGCTAGTAGTGTCTAGTTCTCGAGAGATTCGACGATTTTCTGCCATTGTGACGTGTTAAAGGCATTCCTAACGACAAAAGCAACCATAACGCAAAGCTTCTTACAACTGTAGCTCCGCTATCTGCTACTTTGGACAGCTGTACACTAAGTGCATCTATGGGAGACTTTCTGAAATGATTGATTTGTATTAGGTCGTCTAAAGTTATTTGAGAAAACCCAATTTCCAGCGACTTTATTTAGGGGGTCATTTTAAGAACCTCTGCCTTATTATGTCCAGTTCTATACGAATTCAAGTGTTCGACAACATATTCTAGCACATCGTGTATAGTCACAGAAATGCAAATAGGAACTATATTCCTTTCCCATATTCGCAAGACAGAGAAAAGCTTTTAAATGCTCTCTGGTGAGAAAGTTCGATATTGTCCTTTATCATCCGAGGTGACAGAGTTTCCCATTTCAAAAAATCGGCGTACGCACAAAAGCCTTAGAGTCATTCGCTGTGAATTCTACCACGATAGTCTGGCCGAATTCTGTCATGGTGGGTAGCGTCATGCTGAATGTCATACAATTTGGTATTTTCCCTGTTCGTCTAATAGAAATGTATCATACCGCATAATTTTTTAATTATTGGGCAAGAAATTTTCTGTTTTGATCAACACTTTTTATGCACTTAATAGTATTGATCGCATAAATTTCAACTGAAACTGCTACGCTTTTTACTTAGTTCCTGGTGAACGCTTCCAAATTCCAATTAGGATTACATAAGATGCAGTCATGCATAAATTTGCTAGAAAACAGAAAAATATCGAGGCACGGTCAAAATTTTAAGCGTCAGAATGTCAGGGAATTACAAATATTTACACTAAGATCATACATCGAAACTCGTCCTGATGAATTGATTCAAACATATTTAGGAAGTCTGACAGAGTCAAGATACTGTTAGAACATGGTTAGAACGCAGAAATCGTTTCTTTCTCAGGGGCAAGAATCCATCCACTTCTCTTCAACCACCAAAACATAACATTATGGTGCCATCACTAATAGTTTTGAGTAGAAGCTGTGAAAATGCGTTCATGGAAAATTCAAAACTTAACGCTTTAAACATCAAGGGTGGTAATTACTCAATTCCGACTATTCGGGTTAGGGTTTGATTTCAACTCAGAAACTGTAAATAGACAAGTGAACCTACCTGGAGCTTACATGATTTTAACGCACTTGGTTCGTTTCGAGTGCCAAAAAAAGCCGAGAAAAAAAAATCCCGAATACTAATTTTACGGCTATTGGGAGTAAAAATGCTAAAATGTTATTTGTTCAAAAAGCTGTACCTAACTGTTTATTGAAACGTGTTAATGGATAAATACTTAATCTCCAACTCGTGCCACTTTGCTTGTCCATTTTATACCAGAAGCTGTTGAAACCACAATTTTTATCTTTTTTTAGCTACTTTGCAATTTTCAACGCATTTGATTCAAAGTATTCTCGTAAGTTGTACATTAGACGACCTCAAGGCACGTTTATAGCCGATGGATTAAAGACGCAGTAGGGTGTAAAATTAGCGGGTCATTAATTTTTGTATAAAAGGCTCGAAAACATCTCTAACATCCGAAATAGGGGGACTTGGTAATTAAAGGTTCTGAAATCTTAAAGAAAACGATTTGGCTCACGTTAACCAAAAATGCAGCACATTATCCCGTGTGATTAAGTGTCTAGTCGATGCATGCCTTCCAACGTGAAAGAGAAGAAAAAGCGTAATTAATAATGACAATAATAATGCCTTTATTGAGTCACGAGGAACTTCGAAAATAGTAGTGACCACACTGCTTTTGAGGAAGGTCTCCTCCTACTTATTTTTTGACCAGATCAAGTAAGCAAGCTAAAATTCGGGATCATGAAATTGAAACATTGACGTATAAATATCAGTTGAAAATTTCAAGATGGCGACTGAGCGTCATCTTGTAACATTTTCTTTTTAATGAAATCATGGATCGTCTGATAACTCATTTTGAAGATCCCGATCAGTACTGTATGACCCTAGAGTATAAAATCTCTATCTCCAAAATGGCTAATTGGCGGACTGTCACAGTTGAGTGTTTTTATATAGTGCGTTACTTGATGACAAGCAGACTTTTTAGGACACATGTTTCTATGTAGTTTCCTACCTAAATTTAGTTCAGGAATGTGTCCTTGTATTTACTGCCTAACGTGTATATTGAATCGCTTAAAACTCAACAACTAATCATCAATGCGTTATAGTATATCATTTTTCTTCTTTGGTAGGGTCTATCTGAATGAGCAATATGAGAGATTCAAATTAATAAAATATGATAGATTTTGACAAATTGACCCTTCCAAGCAAATAAGATTAATATAACATAAACGTTTTGATGATTGGTTGAGTTATGAGTGACTCATTGTACAAAAACGCTCAACTTTGACCGCCTGCCAGTTCGCCATTTTCAAACATGGTGATTTTATGTTCGAGCATTTTAAACTGCTCATGAGGAGCTCCCAATGAGATATCACACGACCCCCTATTCTATTTAAAAAATATTCCATACTGGCGCCCTGCCGCCATCTTGAAAATTTTAGACCACCATTTTCCGCTAAAATATAGTATTTATGTGTCGATTTCATCCTCTGGCATTTCAGCTTGCTCACTTGAACTGTCCAAAAAATAGTTAGGGAGAGAGGCTGCTCAGAAAAGCATTGTACATACAGTGCTTTTCTTTAATGTCCCCTTCTCCTTTGATTTTTTGAACGGATCAATTCAAAAAATTAAAACTTGAGGTAATGAAATTGATGCGTTGATACCATATTTTAGACTAAAATTGACAGATGAAAATGTAAAGATGGCCGCTGGGCCATTATATGAAAACGGGGGTCAAGTGGCACATCATTTTGAGCTCCTGACGAATACTTTATAACTCTAGAATATAAAGTCAATACCTTTACCTACTACAAAATGGTGGTACATTTAATAATTACCTGAATACATTAACATTTAACTTGATAATTCGAATAAATACCTTGAGTTCAGTTTAGAAGATGCTGGAAATGGTTGCCTTGAACTTCTTGGCACAATAACGACAGGTCCGTAATTTCGCGTCGAACATTTTCACATAGTAACACCGATATTTATAAAAATATTGAAGCTGGTTCTGTTTCGTACACCTTTTGATTCAAATAGCCCCATAAAAAAGTCTAAAGGTGTCAAATCTGGCGAGCGAGCTGGCCATTCCGCAGGACCTCGACGGCCAATCCAACGACCGGGGAGATTGTTATCTAATTAATTCCTAACTTGTCTGTAGTAGTGTGATGGAGCACCATCTTGCTGGAATACAATATGAGTATCGAATTCATTAGGATTCGCTTCGATGATTTCGGTGATTAGACGGTCAATAGTATTTTCCAGCATATCCAAATACAGTTCCCCGGGAAAAGTTTGTTCCATGAATAGAGGCCCCACAGTATGATTTCTTAATATCCCAGCCCAAACGTTATTTTTTTGTGGATATTGAGTATGAGTTTCCCGGAAGATGTGAGGATTGGTGTCACTCCAATAACGACAATTTTGTCTATGCACATTACCGTTGAGAAAAAATGTACATTCGTCACTACAACAAATATTTTGCATAAAGGTAGGATGCCGTGCAATGGTTTCCGCCATAATCTCGCAGAATTCTGTTCTTCGATCAGGGTCATCTTCAGTTAGCTGATGTACCATTTGAATTTTGTATGGGTGATACTTATTCTTTTTCAAAAATCTCCATACAAAAAGGACAAACCTCACATACATTCGCGATGGAGGAAGTAGACTGTTGGAGATTTACTATGATAACACCAATTATTTGAACTTGCCTTTCTTCCGGGATAGTCGGATGACATGGGGGCTGTTTGTTGTTTACACTACCAGTAGCTGTAAATTTAGATACAAGTTCCCTTAAATATTTTCTACAGATAGGAGGATTGGGGAAACGATCATTAAAAATTCTTTCGGTCTCGTAAAAGTTACGCGTCGCACCATAAATCAAAATCGCTTCGATTTTTCCTTCCAATGGACGAGAATTGATGACCATTTTAAAAATAATTCAAACAGTATCTAGCACTAAAACCGAAAACTAAATAAGAATATTTTAACTCTACAATGATATTTGTTCTCATACTGATATTTTTGTCACTGTCAACAAAAAATAACAAAACAAGTTTTTATCGCTGTTGCTGTGGATACGGCAGGGAATTACAATTATTTGTAGAGATATGCATGTTAGTGGGTTTGTGTTCAAGTAATTATTAAATTTACCACCATTTTGTAGTAGGTAAAGGTATTGACTTTATATTTTAAATACTTTTTTCCAAGATGGCGTCCAGCGGCCATCTTGACATTTTAATCTGTCAATTTTACTCTAAAATATCGTATGTACACATCAATTTCATTACCTCAAGTTTTAATTTTTTGAATTGATCCATTCAAAAAATCAAAGTTGAGGGGAACATTAAAGAAAAGCACTGTATATTATGTATAGGTCAACTACGAAAAATTAGAAACTTTTCTGAGAAACGCCACACAGTCTTCACCTATCTGTGAGCATCATAA